CCATTGCACTCCAGCCTGGGTGACAGAGTGAGACTCCCTTTCAAAAGAAAAACATGAGCTCCCACAAATAAATGAGAACATGTGAAGTCCGTCCTTCTGTGCCTGGCTTCACTTACCATAGCAACCTCCAGTTCCATTCGTGCTGTTGCTCTGTTACAAATGACAGACGCCTTTTTGCTTTTTGAGATGGCGTCTCCCTCTGTGGCCCAGGGTGGAGTGCAATGTGTAGTCTCAGCTCACTGCAATTCTGCCTCTCGGGTTCAAGCTCTTCTCCTGCCTCAGCCTCCTGAGTAGCTGAGATGACAGCTGTGCCACCACACTCAGCTAATCTTTGTATTTTAGTAGCAGCAGGGTTTCACCAGGCTGGGCAGGCTTCTCTTGAACTCCTGACCTCAGGTGATCCGCCTGCCTTGGCCTACCAAAGTGCTGTAATTGCAGGCGTGAGCCACCTTGCCCGGCCCTTCCTTTATGATTTGGATGGCCTCTACTTCTTCCTCTTGTCTGATTGCTCAAGCTGAGACTTCCAATACTATGTTAAACAACAGCGGTGAAAGGCATCCTTGTCAAAAGGAAAGGCTTTTGTTTTTTCCCCATCCACTATGATACTAGCTGTGGGTCTGCCATATGTGGCTTTTACTGTGTTGAGGGATGTTCCTTCTTTGCCCAGTTTTGGAGGGCTTTTATCAAGAAGTGGTGCTGAATTTTATCAAATGCGTTTTTAGCTTCAACTGAAATTATCATAGGGTTTTTGTCCTTCATTCTGTCGATATGATGGATCCTGTCAATTGATTCGTGTATCCCTGGGATACATCCCCCTTGGTCATGCTGAATCATCTTTTTAATGTGTTAATTCAGTTTGCTAGTGTTTTGTTCCTGAGACATTGGCCTGTAATGTCTGGCTTGGGTGTCAGGCTAACACTGGCCGCGTAGAATGTGTTGGGAAGTATCCCCTCCTCTGTTCTTCACAATAGTTCGAGTACGATTGGTATTAGTTCCTCTTTAAATGTTGGGTCAAATTCAGCAGCGCAGCCATTGGCTCTTGGGCTTTCTTTGCTGGGAAACATATTATTACAGCTTTCATCGCATTCCTTGTTACTGGTTTGCTCAGGATTTTGTTATTTTAACTTTTTTGAGATGAAGTTTCACTCTTGTCGCCCAGGCTGGAGTGCAGTGGTGAGATCTCAGCTCAGTGCAACTCCATATCCCGGGTTCGAGCGATTCTCCTGTCTCAGCCTCCCTAGTAGCTGGGATTACAGGCACACACCATCACACCCAGCTAATTTTTTTGTATTTTTAGTATATATGGGGCTTTGCCATGTTGGGCAGGCTGGTCTTGAACTCCTGACCTCAGGTGATCCACCCGCCTCGGCCTCCCAATGTGCTGGAATTACAGGCGTGAGCCGCCGCACCCGGCCAGTTTTTCTATTTTTTTTGTAGAGATGACTTTTCACCATGTTGGCCAGGCTTGTCTCAAACGCCTGACCTCAGGTGATCTGCCTGCCTCAGCCTGCCAAAATGCTGGGATTATAGGGGTGAGCCACCACGCCCGGCCCATGGTTCAATCCTGATAGGTTGTACGTGTCTAGGAATTTACCCACTTCTTCTGGGTTTTCCAGTTTATTAGCATATAGTTGTGCAGATTTGCCTGTAACGGTGCTTTGAATCCGTGGTATCAGTGGTCATGCCTCCTTTTTCATCTCTGATTTTATTTATTTGGGTCTTTTTTTGTAGTCTGGACAAAGGTTTGATTTTGTTTATGTTTTCAAAAAAACAACTTTTTGTGTGATTTATTTTTGTATTGTTTCCTTCATTTCAGTTTTATTTCTGCTCTGGTCTGTTTTTTTTTTTTTTGAAACAGTTTCACTCCTGTTACCCAGCTGGAGTGCAGGGGTGCAGTCATGGCTCACCGCAGCCTCGACTTCCTGGGCTCCGGTAATTCTCCCACCTCAGCCTCCCAAGTAGCTGGGACCACAGGCACTCGCCACCACACCAGGCTAGTTTTTATATCTTGGTAGAGACAGGGTCTCACCATGTTGGCCAGGCTGGTCTCAAACTCCTGACCTCAAGTGAAGGCTGGTCTCAAACTCCTGACCTCAAGCGATCCACCTGACCCAAAGCGTTAGGATTAAAGGCGTGAGCCACCGAGCCCAGTATGTATTTTAATTATTACATGCACTGTCACCCAGCAACAAGCTTGGCTGTTCTCTGACCTCCCTCCAACATGCCAAGTGGAGGCAGGCCCTTCCCCACTGCTGTGACGGGCGTTCTCTCCCTTCCCTTCCCCACTGCTGTGACGGGCGTTCTCTCCCTTCCCTTCCCCACTGCTGTGACGGGCGTTCTCTCCCTTCCCTTCCCCACTGCTGTGACGGGCGTTCTCTCCCTTCCCTTCCCCACTGCTGTGACGGGCGTCTCTCCCTTCCCTTCCCCACTGCTGTGACGGGTTCTCGCCCTTCCCTCTCCTGCCTGGCTTTCAGGACACCAGCGGGACAGTCAGCTTCCGCACTGAAAACGCCTAAATGACTGTCTTGTTCCACAGACTGGGGACCCTGCGGGGGCAGCGACCAGGCTATGTTTGTCATCGCCAGCGCTGCAGGGGTGGGCCCACAGCGGGCATCAGGCATGGCTTGCAGACTGTCCCTGTGAGGACCAAGGGACTCCCTCCCTGCTGAGGGCAAGTGCAGCATGGCAGAATGGGCTCAGCAGGTCAGCATGCAGTCATGGGGCCCCTCGCCCTCGGGAGGAGCAGCAGCCCCGGGCTGGCACACAAGAGGTCAGACGGAAGCCAACACAGGCTCAGGAATAGCCCAGAGCCCAGGCATGTGTTTTGCAGGGAGGGCCCAGTGAAAAATGAAGGCAAGGTCCCCTTCTTAAAAACTACTAAGAATCTGGCCAGGCGCAGTGGCTTACACGTGTAATCCCAGCACTTTGGGAGGCTCAGGTGGGCGGATCACGAGGTCAGGAGATCAAGACCATCCTGGCTAACATGGTGAAACCCCATCTCTACTAAAAACACAGAAATGTAGCCAGGCATGGTGTCACACGCCTGTAGTCCCAGCTACTCGGGAAGCTGAGGCGGGAGAACCCTTGAACCCAGGGAGCAGAAGTTGCAATGAGCAGAAATTGCTCCACTGCACCCCGGCCTGGGTGACAGAGAGATGCGTCTCAAAAAACAATTACTAAGAATCTGAGTAAGACAAACAGCACAGCATTATCAAACCCAGGGCCTTTCTGATGGCACAGGTCACACACACACAAAGCTGGCCCGGCCTGTAGCTCAGAGATGCATTCCAGAGACGTCAGCCTCTGCCTGAGGTCCCAGCCCTTCACGCTGGAGCCAGACCGAAGGCTGCCGTGCACCTCGGGAGGACTCTCATGGTGTTCCGGGGGTCAGCATTCGCTCCACGGGGACACGCAACCCAAATGCACACGAGCATGAAAGAATGGCAGTTCTGTTTTAAAAAATTAAGTTTATAAATATTTCTCCACTGTACAAAGTTCTCCCAGCCCTGCCCACCCCATCACTGTTCACATTTCTCATGTTTTTAAAATCCCAATTATATTTATTTTTTAAAATCATAAAATATATTTTTTCTTTGTTCATATTTAAAACTATTTACAGGGGCACAGAGAAGCTGGAGTGGCCCGGCCGAGGTCAGGACGAGTCCGTGCAGGGGGATGGAGGGGGCGGGAAGAGGTGGAAGTAGCTCCTCTCTGTGGCGGGCGAGGGCGGGCAGCTGTCCTCTGCCGACAGGTACTGGCTGTGGGGCGTGGGTGGGGGCGGGTAGGGGTCTGAGTCTGAGTTCAAATCCAGGTAGTACTTGCTGGCCTTCCAGCGGCTGGCACTGTAGTCGCTGTCACACACGTCGGTGCTGCAGGGTGTCGTCGGGGGTGCCATTCCTCGAATGATGTAAGGCCTGGAAGGGACACATGCAGAGGAGTGGGCACAGGGGCCCCGGGGCTGTGAACGGGAAAGGCCTGTCCACTGCCCACTCCAGAAGAGGCAGGCCTGACTCTGGACCGACCCTGCTTTGTGACCTGGGCTCGCCACTTACCCTCTCTGGACCACAACAGCCCCACCTCTACCACGGGCATGCCTGTACCTGCCCTATAGCCTGCCAAGCCTGGGCCCTGGCACAGCTGCCTCTGAGGAGAACGAGGCCTCCAGAGCCTGCTAGCTGACCTTGGCCCAGAGCCTACTTTGCCTCTCTGAGCTTTAGCTTCTCACTGATAAAAGCAGGGGATGAGCCAGGCACGGTGGCTCATGCCTGTAATCCCAGCACTTTGGGAGGCCGAGGCATGAGGGTCACGAGGTCAGGAGTTTGAGACCAGCCTCACCAACAAGGTGAAACGCCATCTCTACTAAAAATACAAAAATAAGCCGGGTGTGGTGGTGCGTGCCTGGAATCCCAGCTATTCGGGAAGCTGAGGCAGGAGAATCGCTTGAACCAGGAGGCAGAGATTGCAGTGACCTGAGATCATGCCATTGCACTCTAGCCTGGGCGACAGAGCAAGACTCTGTCTCAAAAAGAAAAAACAAAAGGTGATAAAATAGTAAACATTTCAAAAGAGGCTCATGACAGATACATGAGATTCTGCCTGGAAAGTGCTGGAAACAGTGCCAGACAAAATAGGGGTCTGGACAGCTGTTCCCTGTAACGTTGCTACCGTAAAGGCTGGCAACTGGTGCGGTCTGGCTGAGTCCCCACGCAGATCTCATCTTGAATTGTACTCCCATAATTCCCATGTGTTGTAGGAGGGACCCAGTGAGAGCTACTTGAATCACGGGGGCGGTTTCTCCCATGCTGCTCTCATGGGAGTAAGTCTCACGAGATCTGATGGTTTCCTAAGGAGAACCCTCTTTAGCTTGGTTCTCTCTCTCCCTCTTCCCGGTGGCCGTGTGAGACGTGACTTGCTCCTCCTTGCCTCCTACCATGGTCGTGAGGCCTCCCGAGCCATGTGGAACTGAGTCCATTAAACCCCTTTCCTTTATAATTACCCAGTCTCGGGCATGTCCTCATTCTCAGCGTGAGAACAGACCAACGCAGCAACCAAGGGGCCTGGAATGCTCCCTTCCTGAGTTCAAGCAACCAGCCTCGGGAGATGTCTCCTGTCCGAGAGGCCGCCCGCACCCAACTGAGGCCCAGAAACCCCGCATGCAGCTATGTGAGTCCCCGATGGGAACCGTGGTGTGTTTGGGAGCCCCGGTCCTGTCACAGCGGGGCTTGCGACGGGCGGGAAGGTGACACCGGGTGTTGAGAAACGTGCAGCAGGATCCTCCTCTTGGGGCCCAGCTGCTGCGAGGTCAGATATCTCTGCCGTGGAGCAGGACAGCATGAGCAAAGGCAGGAGGTGGGACGGGGCCTGGCGAGACTGGCCTGCCCGGTGTGGACGCGACAGTTCTGGAGACAGTGTTCTGTGAGGCTGCTGGGACAGACTGACAGTCTGACATACTACTTGGCATCAGGGGGCCACTGCAGCTCCTTGACCAGGGAGGTGGCCGGACCCACAGGGGGATGGAAATGGGGGCTGCAGTTCCGGCTCCCCAGCCAGGTCTGGGAGTTCATAAAAATGGCCGCTAGGTGGCAGGCGGCACCACACTCAGGAGGCCCTGCTGCTCCAAGACCCCAAGCAATAAGGATGCCTGGTCCAGAGGTGGCCTGGCCCAGGCCCACCCCATCACCGCTGGGGGTGGGGCCCAGTGCAGCTGGCGGGTGGGCCATGTTGGCTAGCACCAGTGGGTTAAAGGTCAGGAGGCTCACCCTGCCCCTCCCAGGCTCTCATTCAGCTCCTGCAGAGACCAGTGCACCTGGGTCCTACTTCTCCACACGCTCAGGTGCCCCTCCCGACCCAGGGAAGTGGGGCCTGTGACCCCAGCATGGGCAGCTCAGGGACTGGTGTCGGGCTGAGCAGCCCCATGGGTTTCCCAGGCTCAAACAGGCCACTGTGGCAAGTGAGCAGCCTGGACCGTCCTGGTGATGTCACACAACTGGGGGTCCATGGTGGGTGCTGGAGCGGCCTTCACAGACTTGTCCCATCCTAAGAAGACCAAGTCACTGAGGGGACATCTAGATGGCCAGAATCCCACAGCTGGACTCAAACACAGTCAGACCCTAAACCCAAGCCCTCGGCCCCTGTGCCTCGGCCTCCCTGCAGTGGGATGTCAGGTGGGGTGGGAATGCCCCTGTGGCATTGTTCAGGGCCCAAGATGCCACAGGCATGTCCCAGCTCCCCACGGGTGCATCCTGAAGAGCAGCTCAGAATGTAGGGTTCTGTGGGTTTCTGAACCCAACATGCAGGCCCGCTGGGCCAGCTGGGGAGGCAGCCTACTGTGGCTGGCAGAGCAGAGGGAGGAGGGGCTGGGCCTGGCACCTGCCCATGAACCCGTCGCCGGTGGCATGGGGACACAGCACCTCCACCACAGGCTGGCGGGAACCCAAGGGCCATGGAAGGCTGTGGGGGAACGTCCTACCTGTACGGTCTCGTGGTGGCCGGAATGTTTGAAGAGTAGAACATGTCCATGTTGTACAGCGAGGGGTCCGTGGCCGGGGAGGGTGGTGGGTTCAGGATCTGAGGACAGCCAAGCCAGGGTGACCCTGGGCTCTCCCTGCTCCTTCCTCCTCTCCTCCCCTCCTTCTGTCCTTCCCTCCCTCTCCTTCCCCACTCCTTCCTTTCTTGCTTCCTTCCCTCCCTCCATTTCTTCCTTCCCTCCTTCCTTCATTCTTCCTCTCTCCTTCCCTCCTTCCTGCATTCCTTCCTTCCTTCCCTCCCTCTCTCCTTCCTTTTCTTCCTTCCCACACCCCTCGGGCTTTTCTTGCAGGGAATGTCTGGCACCCCGCTTCCTGGGACCCCTTTCTCTGGCCAGTTGGCGAATCTTGGGGACAGGAGGGGCAGTAGCAGCAGCCACCTGCCCCGAAGGTCATCTTGATGAGAGGCAAAGGAAACCCAGGTACTTTTGGCCCCAGATGCCTGCACTGCTCCTGAGTAACTGCCCTGTGACCAGATGCTGAGCTGTGAAGGCAGAGATGGGACTTCAGCCAGCCCCTTTGTGGCCAGCCCCCCAGCAGTGGGAGATGTCCCCACAGGCCCTGAGTGTCCCTCACACCAGTGAGCACCTCACCAGGCTCCTCAGGGACCTTCCCAGGAACTGTTCTTCTGACCTTTCCTCCCGCCCCGCCTCCCTCCATCGAGCACACTCCAGCTCCTGCAGTTACGCCCTTGTTCCGAACACTTGGGGGCTCTATGTCCCTGCTGAAGCTCTGACCCATGCACAGAGGTCGCCACGCTGAGGGAGGGGCCGCGGCCCCATTCCAGACACAGGCACGCCTTTCACAAGGGCCTGCACTGACACTGGCCCCAAAGCCGGGATAGTAGACAAATCCACCATGCGAACTTGCCCTCCGGGGCCGGGCAGCACACAACCAGCCCTACAAAGGGATGAAGGGAGCAGGGGACCCAGGCCCAGACACCGACACAGGTCTGCACCTTCCAGCAAGTGCCGCTGACGGCACCCCAACCCAACATGCAACTTCCCAAAGGGCGTGGGGCTTAGGTGGGTCTCCTAAGGCCATCCTGGAAAGCATAGGGCCAGATCCGAGCTCCTATGAGTAACGGGAACAGAACTGTCAGTTACGCCCCGAGGGACTCAGTTCTCCTGGCCCCCAGTGTGGTACGAGAGCACAGCCTTTCACGCCAGACAAACCTGGGTGAAGTCCTGCTTCACCACCTTCCAGCTGCAGCAGGATCCCTGGGGAGGGACTTCACCTGTCTCAGCCTCAGTTTCTTCATCTTTAAAATGGGCTCGACCCAGCACTTTGGGAGGCTGAGGTGGGTGGATCACTTGAGGTCAGGAGTTTGAGACCAGCCTGGCCAATATGGTGAAACCCCGTCTCTACTAAAAATACAAAAATTAGCTGGGCATGGTGGCGGGCACCTGTAAACCCAGCTACATGTGAGGCTGAGGTGGGAGAATCTCTTGAACCTAGGAGGCGGAGGCTGCAGTGAGTTAAGATTCCACCACTGCACTCCAGCCTGGGCGACAGATCAGGACTCTGTCTCAAAACAAATAGATAAAAATAATCAAATACAGTAATGAAATGGGCTTTCGAAGGCCTGCTTCCTGGGGCTATCCTGATGGCTGGCAGGTAGCCTATGGAGAGTGCCCAGGCCCTTCCCCTGCCCTTTAGGAAGCAGCACTGGGCCCTGTTCTTTCTGGAGAGGGCCCTCCTTGGCCCAGAGAGCCAGCATAGGGATTCCTCAGGATTTAACCCCAACATCAGGAGGGCGCAAGACTGGGGGCATTTCAGGGGGGGTTTCAAAGAAGGAACCAGAGGGGGCGGCAGCAGAAAGGGCTTCCTGCAGCTGCCCATGCCCCAGCCTAGGGGGTCTGTTTGCACCTCTTCCCACGAACTTGACCAGACCTGGTTTCTCTCCTACATCCCAAGGCAAAATGTGAGATTCTGTCCAACTCTGCACTGGGCAGACTTCTGGCAAGATCCACCAGAACAGCGTCTTGGCAGCGTCTCAGACGTCCAGTGACCCCGGCCATGCCCTCTTCAACGAGGACTGGATCTTGACCCAGGTTGGGGGTGGGGAGGCTCCACCTCAGCCCATCGGCTATTCCTGTATTTTTTGAGATAGAGTCTGTCTCTGTCGCCCAGGCTTGAGTACATTGGCATGATCTCAGCTCACTACAACCCCTGGGATTACAGGCGCGTGCCACCATGCCCGGCTAATTTTTGTGTTTTTAGTAGAGACGGGGTTTCATCATGTTGGCCAGGCTGGTCTCAAACTTCTGACCTTGTGATCTTCCTGCCTTGGCCTACAAAGTGCTGGAAATACAGGCATGAGCCAGTGTGGCCCTCTGCTGAGAAAAGACGGACTGTCCCCTTCAGAGGGCCACTTGGCAAGAGAAGTTAAAATGGCCAAGGCTCCACCACAGCAGGAGAGGGGACCCCGATGGCCTCCAGAGGCACCCCAGCCACGCCTGACAAGGAGTGCTGTTCAGCCACCGAGAATGTGACAGCTCTGCCCTTGAAGCAGAACAAACTTCAGGGTGCGGGGGAAAGTGGAGGAAAAGGTGGTCGTGAGCTGGCCAGCCTGGCCCCACTGTCTACTGACCCAATGACTCAGGCCGGTGGATAACGCTCAGTTCTTCGGCCTCCTTGCTGCAAAATGAGGAAAACAACAGCACCACCACCGGGAGATGAGTTAAGGCAGAGTTCTAGGCGGGGTGCACATGGCAGCCAGGAGCCCCCAAAATACTCAGAACACCAGCCTTTTTATTTTTCTTTTTGAGAGCAGTCTTTCTCTGTTGCCAAGCTGGAGTGCAGTGGCGCAATCCCGGCTCACTGCAACCTCCGCTTCCCAGGTTCAAGCGATTTTCTTGTCTCAGCCTCCCAAGTAGCTGGGACTGCAGGCGTGTACCACCACGCCCGGCTAATTTTTGCTTTTTTTTTTTTTCAGTAGAGAAAGGTTTCACCATGTTGGCCAGGATAGTTTCCATCTCCTGACCTCGTGATCCACCCACCTGGAGCCTTGGAGCCTCCCAAAGTGCTGGGATCACAGGCGTGAGCCACCGCATCCAGCATAACACCAGCCTTAGCCGTTATATATCGTTAGTAGCAAAAGCCAAGGCTCAGCGCTGACTATTCAGATGCTGTCTGTCGGGCTTATGAAAACACGTATGTCAGCCAGGCACAGTGGCTCATGCCTGTAATCCTAACACTTTGGGAGGCTGAGGCAGGAGGATTACTTTAGCTTAAGAGTTCAAGACCAGCCTCGGCAATACAGTGAGACCTCGTCTCTACAAAAAAATGTAAAGAGTAACACCTGCAGTCCCAACTACCTGCAGGGCTGAGGCAGGAGAATCGAGTGAGCCCAGGAGTTTGAGGGTGCAGTGAGCTGTGATTGTGCCACTGCGCTCCCACTGGGTGAGAGAGGGGGACCATGTCTCAAAAACAAACAAAAAACACCTATGTCCATCTGAATAAGGTCAAAAGATCCTATCAGTGTCTTGCTTATGACAGGCATGAAGGCATGCAAGATGTAAACTAGGCGGAGGATGAATGGGGCTGTGCTGTTTCTCACAGCTGCACCTAAATCTACAATTATCTTTTTGCTGGGAAAACAAAGTCCACACTCTTGTGTGCTTGCGTATGCACAGATTACTCCTGGGGGGACACACAGAAACACACCACAGGAGGTCATGCCTCCCGGGGCATCCTGCTTGGGGTTATGGAGGCGGGGGTCCCTCTGGACTGCAGGCTCTTCTATACTATTTGAATTTTGTGCCATGAACATATATTTGACAGATGCAAAATAACTTTGCTAATTTTTTTTTTTTTTTGAGACATACGAGTCTCGCTCTGTCGCCAGGCTGGAGTGCAGTGGCACTATCTAGGCTCACTGTAACCTCCACCTCCTGGGTTCAAGCAATTCTCCTGCCTCAGCCTCCCGAGTAGCTGGGACTACAGGCGACCGCCACCACACCTGGCTAATTCTTGTGTTTTTAGCAGGGATGAGGTTTCACCATGTTGGCCAGGACACAATCTCTTGACCTCGTGATCTGCCCACTTCAGCCTACCAGAGTGCTGGGATTCCAGGCATAAGCCACCACGCCCAGCCTAACTTTGCTAATTTAAAAATGGCTGGCTTCATGCAGTTTCTTTTACGGGTAGAAAAAGGTTCTAAAATTAACTGTGGTGAGGGTTGCACACATCTGTGAATATCCTAAAACCCACCGAATCATACACTTTTTGAAGCGAGTGAGCTGTATGGTTAAACAATCGATTTTAAAAAATAGCTGGCTGGTCGGTGCCATCTCTTATTGCCTGATAAGCTCCTCCCAGCTCCCAAGGAGAACAGGAAAGAATTCCACGTCCTGAGCCTCCTGCTGCGTGCGCGGGCCGGGCCCCGGTTTCTGGCGCTCCTGGCTGGTTAGGTGATGATGCAGCAGCAGGAGCGGAGAAGAAGTCTAAACTCTCTGCTTCTGGCTCCCAGCTCCCTTTGTCCCCAAACACAGCCAGGCCCTGGAGCCTGCAGACGACTCAGTTCCTGTCCAGGACACCAAGGATAACCCTCTTCTGCTCCTTCCTTCCCAGGGCCCACCACGGTCAGGAGCGATAAGAAGGCAACGCCCCACAAAAGAAGTAAAAATGAAATAAAGCAAACAAAAAAGGCAACACCCCAGGCCAGGTGCTGTGGCTCAGCCTGCAATCCCAACACCTTGGGAGGCTGAGGCGCGAGGGTCACTGGAGGCCAGGAATTGGAGACCAGCCTGGGCAACAGAGTGAAACTCTGTCTCTGCAAAAAATGTCAACATTAGCTGGGCATGGGGACGCATGCGTGCAGTCCTAGCTACCTGGGGGCTGAGGTGGGAGGATCGCTTGAGCTAGGTCAAGACCGGAGTGAGCCACGACAGCGCCACCGCACTCCAGCCTGACTGACAGAGCGAGACCCTGTCCCAAAAAAACAAAACAAGAAAGAAACAAAGACAAGACCCCATATGTGAGGGACACTCAGAAGGGCAGGAAGAACCAGCCCTGGTGAGGTGGGGCGCCCTGGTGAGGCCCCAGAGGAAGCGGAGGGGGCTGGCTTTACCTTAGGGGCAAACAGCTGCAGGAACTAGATTGTGGAAAATGAAAAGCATTCAAAGCGTGTCAACACACAGGGGTTCACATCCAGGTGCCAAGCTCACCTTGGCACCCTGGGGCTGTGCTCCCAGAAATGGGCGTTCTCCCCAGCCAGCCCCCTGGATGCTGGAGGGTGCCGACAGTTTATCCTCTTCTCACTCACTTCGCTTGGAGGGTGTGGCTCAGCGAGAGCCTCCCCTCAGCCTGCTGAAAGCTCCGGGAAGGATTTTAGCCACGAAAATCACCCCGTGTGTCTGTCCTACACAAAACCATGCAGCTGTTTTCCTGGCTGGGAGGACAGGGGGTTTGTGGTGGGCAACCCGAGGGGAAGCTCACAGAGGGCAGACGGGCCTGGTGCAGGCGGCCATCACTGGGCTGCCCGTGTGCAACAGGCGGCCATCTGGAGGCTGACGTGGCCCCACAGCCATTCTAGGAGGTGGATTCGGGTAAGATTTCAGCTCTTTATATTTCTGTGTGGTTTTCAGAGTATCCACAGACAACAATGTCTTTAAAGAATGTTTGTAGAGAGGGAAGAAAGCAAGCATGCCTCAGAGGCGGCGGGGGGACCGCCCCCAAGAACCCGAGAAGCCTCTTCTGGCCGGAGCTGAAGGCCGGAGGGGCCCACAGCCACATCCCGCCCCACCCCTCCCCAGCCCCGCCACTCACCGGCGGGTACAGCGTGGCCTTCGTGCTGGATGAGCTGCTGGATGAGGCCCCTGTGACGTGGTTCCGGTCGTAGAGGGGCACCCCGCCCCGGCCCCCCATCAGGCTCACAGAGCTCATCATGGACTTTCCACATGCGATGCCTGGCGGGGAAGGGACGGGGAGTCAGGTGGCTTCGAGGCTCAGCTGAGCCACCCCACAGACACAGGGCAGTCCCCTCGGCTCCCACTATCCAGGAGACCCAGACTGGGTCGGTGTGTCCTGTCGAAGATGCACCCCCCTCCCTCTGCTGCTGGCCTCTCTGGCCACTACCAGGGTGAGCTCTCCGGGACTCATCTGCGAAACGAGAGACACGTGATACCTCCCCCAAGGGGCCTGTAGCTGGGTCAGGGAACCCAGGAGGGGCAGCACAGAGCCTGCCAGGAACAGACAGGGCCCGGTTCTCTGAGGGCTGCTGTGACCATGATGGTGTCACCACTGCACGCTTCCAGGAGCTTTTTATTCTGAGACAGAGTCTGGCTCTGTCACCAGGCTGGAGTATAGTGACGCGATCTCAGCTCACTGCAACCTCTGCCTCCCAGCTTTAAGTGATTCTCCTGCCTCAGCCTCCTGAGTAGCTGGGACTACAGGTGCCCACCACCACGCCCAGCTAATTTTTATATTTTTACTAGAGACAGGGTTTCACTATGTTGGCCAGGATGGTCTTGATCTTTTGACCCACGAGTCAGCTTCTTCGGCCTACCAAAGTGCTCGGATTACAGGCATCAGCCACCTCGCCCGGCCCCAAGAGCTCCTGAGAACCCTGATAACCCAGAGAGAGGCAGGTCACATCTACACTTGCCATCCAATGGGTTCCCAGTGAGGCTGGCTTGGGGTGACAGCAGGATAGAACAGGGGAGAGGGAACTCAGGGCTGGGTGGACAGAGGCAATCCTCAAGGTGGCCTGGAGCTGTGCAGGTACCTGCAGACCTCACGGGGACTCTGCCTTCTTAGACATACCATGGTCCCTCATATAATACAAACCAGCTCTGCGGTGTGGCTGCCCCACCATCTACAAACACAGCCTGCCTTCCTGGTGCCTCGGCCACGTAGGAACTATAACCACGCTCAGCCACACGTCCCAGCTGCACTCAGGACAAAGCTACTCATGGTACCTAGTGGTTCCTTCAGCTCTAGAGAGTGCCCAGCTGCCCCACATTCACTTCTAGAGGACATGAGGATTTGTGGACAACACAGCACATGTCCAACTAGGATACTGAAGGTCAAGTCCAAGGAGTTTCCTCCACACCTACAGTGCCAAAGGGTGGGTTGCTGCAGCCATGCAGGCCTCTGTGTTGAAGGGTTCTGCTGCCAAGCACAGGCTCAGCAGGAAAGCCTGAATGCCACGACTGATTAGCAACATCTGCCACACGCACAAGAGGGCCCAAGGTAGCGTGTCCCTCATCCCCTCCCCAAAGCCGGCCAGACTCCTCTCCCGCCTCCTCCGAGTCTTTCCAGACCTCAGGCTCCTTACCTGTAAAGGGACCATGCTGGGAACCACCCGGGGCTATGAAATTGAGAGGCACGTGCGGTGTGCCGCTGACATACTCGTGCGGGAAGGGCCCATTGGCCCCCGCATAGCGCTGGCACACCACGCGCTGGCACACAAAGTAGATGCCACCCATGACAAAGAGGGAGAGGATGATGCCGATGACAGGCCCGATGGCGCTGCTGTGGGCTCCAGTGTCATCTGAGGGCGGCTTGTTGATTTCTGCCAGAGACAGAAAGAGGTGGCCGACATTACACACCCTGAAGGGGCTGACTCTGCCACTGGTGGAGGGTGGGGAGAAAGCAGGGGGCTGGAGGCTAGGCCTGGGGAGCCTGGACAACCTCAGGCCTGCACAGCTGCCACCCTCCCCTTCTCCCCTGCCAACTCCAACCCTGGCCCCTGTCCAACTCCCCACAGCCCTCAACACATCCCTGCCAAGGCAACCTGGTATTCACTCCTTCGCCCGGGCCCTCAGGGGTGGCGGAAGGGAGTGCGCCCTGGCCAGCACAGGTGATATGGTGGAAGTGCAAAGCCAGGCGGCCCCTGGTGCTACCCCCCAGGCCACAGGAGGCACAGGCTCTCTGGGTGGGCTCCTTGTGACCACCCCACTATGGAGGCTGCCCTGGAGGAAGTTTCCAGGCTCTAGACTCAGCTTTGGCAAAAGCCACGTTCACTCTCCCACAAGATCGGCCCGGCGATCCTGAGGGCATCCATGATGTCAGAGGAATGGGAGGAAGCGTGCGGACTCCGTGCGAGGCCTGGCTGCGCATCAACAGCGCCCCCACGGCTGGGGCCCACGGCCATGCTGGAGGCCTGGGCACAGGCCTGTCAGACTGGGGAAGCTGCCCAGCAGAGGAGGTGACCCGTGGTGATCCCCACCACTGCCCTCAGGCCCCAAGCCTGACCTGACATGAAGGTGCCAAAGCATACAGGGAGTCCCTTGAGGAAGCCCCCTTGTCCCCGCACCAGACTTCTCTCCCTCCTGCAGCCAGAAGAAAAGAGCTCTCAGCCTAGGTCTCTTGGCAGTGAAGGTGTGGCCATGTCCCTAGACTCAATGACTCATTCCTACTTCCTATCTGAACTCAGCTCCCTTCCTGCCTGAATCAGACAGCCTTTCAGGAGCCACTGCCTCCAGGAAGCTTCCCTGACTGCCTTGGTCTCCTAACCTCTAGGTCCTGTATCCATGACGGCACAGGTCATGCTACTTGAGCATGTGGGACATGTCATGTACATGTGTGCACACATGGCACACGTGCATATGTGAACATCCCTCCTCCTTAGCCAGACAGTAAGCCGTCAGGGAGCAGGACCACTGCAGCCCTCAGGGCTAATCTTGCTGCCTGACGGACGCCGCTGAGCGAGGTCCCATGGGTGGGTACATGCTGCAGGCACCTGGGCACGGTCAGCCCCACCCGCCGGGGTGGACTCCATGGCCACCCAGCCCACAGCTCACGGTCTCTCCTCCTGGCCGCTGCCCTGGGAAAGGCTTCCCTGCCTCCTGCAAGGAGCCTCCCAGCCACCTAAGTCTCTCACACAGCCCCCAGCCCCACTGGGAAGGCATGTCTCCTCCCATAGACCCCGCACTCCTGGGGGAACCCAGCCTGACGCCCCTCCCCACGCCAGAGGCTGGCTCACCACACATGAGCTCATCGGAGCCGTCAATGCAGTCGGGGAAGGAGTCACACTGCTGCTTGATGAGGACGCACTGGCCGCTGGCACACCGGAACTGGTTGGGCAGGCAGATGGCTGGAAGGAGGGGCTGCACACTCAGAGAGGCTGGAGGGCGCCCCCAGCCCACCACACAGGGCCCAGCAACCAAGGTCTGGGCTCCAAACACAGCAGACGGATGGACCCTTTCTAGGACCGGGGGAGTGGTCTAGTGCAGTCTCCACCCTCCCTCAAGGACCCCTGTGGTGAGGCCTATGCCGAGTAGGGGAGGGAATGCCAGGGCTGAGACCTCAAGGCACCTCCTGCCCCCACCCCTAAGAGGTATTTGTCAGGTGCCTACTGTGGGAAGGTCCAAGCCATGTAAGTAGTAATAGACCCTGCCCAAGGCTCTACCAGGTTGGGGGGTGGGTGCCAAGGACAAGAACTGCCGTGAGGATTCTTGCCTCCCGAGAGTGGGGGCCGAGGAGAGCAGTGGTGCCCAGCAGAGCTTGCAGAGAGGGGAGGGAGCAGAACTCACTGTAGGTGCAGCCAGCCCACATGGGAGCCACGCAGCCACGGCCTCTGGCCAGGGAGGAAGAGCAAGCCAGGGTGCAGACCGCTGCCTCCTCCCCTCCCCAGATGCCCACCTGGAGGGAGCCACAGCCATGCCCACCCCAGGGAGCTTGCTACGTTCCCCGCCTGCCCTGCCCTGGGGGTCTGCCCTGGGAACGGGAGATAAAGGGACCCTGTCCTTATAATGGATGCCATGATTTTCTGGAAACCGAGAAGGGAAGAAAGCTTCTGAAACGGAACATATAGCCAGGGCCTGCCACCAGTGCCTCAGGGCATACAGGAGGGGCAGCAGGAGTGGGACTAGGGGACTCAGATGGTTCCCACGTCTGCCCCTCCAAATTGCAACTGAAATGTGACCCTCATTGGGCATGGTGGCTCATGCCTGTAATCCCAGCACTTTGAGAGGCTAAGGTGGGTGGATCGTTTGAGGTCAGGAGTTCGAGACCAGCCTGGTCAACACAGTGAAACCCCATCTCTACTAAAAATACAAAAATTAGCCAGGCATGGTGGTGCATGCCTGTAATCCCACTACTCGGGAGGCTGAGGCAGGAGAATCACTTGAACCCAGGAGGCAGAGGTTGCAGTGGGTCTAAATGGTGGCGCCACTGCACTCCAGCCTGGGCAACAGAGTGAGATTCTTTCTCAAGTACAAATAAAATAAAATGAAACGTGACCCCCAAGGTTGGAGGTAGGGCCTGGTGGGCAGTGTTTGGGTCATGGGAGCAGATGCCTCAGGAACAGGTTGGTGCCCTCCCTGTGGTTAGGAGTGGGCTCTCACGGTGGTTCACATGGGAGCTGGTTGCTTAAAGGAGCCTGGCACCTCCTCTCCAGGTGAGAACAAGAGGGAGAGGTGCTGTCGACCTCTCTCCCTCCCTCTCTCTCTGTTGCCCGCTCTCTCACCATGTGACGCATCTGCTCCCGCTTCACCTTCTACCAAGAGTCAAAGCTTCCTGAGGCCTCACTAGAAGCTGCGCAGATGTGGGTGCCGTGCTGACACTGCCTGCAGAACCGTGAGCCAGACAAGACCTCTCTTCCTTCCTGACCCACTGGCCTCAGGTACTCCTTCATAGCAACCAATGAAAAATGGACAAGCACGGGGAACATTCCTAACCACGGCTCCGTCGAGCTGAAATCACGAGCAGCAGGTGACGGGCCGGGGTGCGCAGCAGGGCTGGGGGAGCCCTGTCTGTCGAGGGTCAGACATGAGGACTGGGGATTTGAAGGCCGTAGGTCTCCAGCATAACCACTTGGCTCTCCTGCCT